TGTAGAAGACAGAATCGCTGGCCTAGAAAAACTTCACCACAAAGACAGAAAATAGTCCAAAAAACAAGAATAATATATGAGAAATACTAGATACCATTAAACATCCAAACATCTGGATAATCAGTATCCCAGAAGATGAAGAGACTAATAAGGATATTAATAACCAATTCCATGAAATCCTAGAAAACTTGCCAAACTTAGAGAGGCATTCAAAGATCTAGACCCAAGAAATACAAAGTACCCCACACAGAATCAACCTAAGAAGATCTTCTCCATGACACATTATTGCCAGACTGACCAAAACCATAGACAAAGCCAAGATACCCAGACTGGCAAAAGAGAAACGACAAGTTACCTACAAAGGGTTTCCCATCAGGCTAACTGTGGCCCTCTCATTGGAAACAACGTGAGCAAGGAAAGAAAAAATATATTCAAAGTATTGAGTGAAAAACAATTTCAACCGGGACCAGCAGTTAGCGTAATGGCTATGTCGATGGACTCCCACATAGTCAACCGCAGTTCGCGTCCCAGCCCCAGAGGCTTAAACTCACACCGGGCACGTGGGCATGCGTGCCCAAAATTCTGAGAGGAGAACGGAAGAGAAGGGATTGTGGCGTGGCCATCCCCCCTGGGGGGTGATTTCTCGCTTTCTGTCTCTCTGTCTCTCTCTGTCTGTTGGCAAGCGCACGCGCCCTATAGCAAAAACAAACAAACAAAAATCTCAAAAACAATTTTTTCCAACCAAAAGTACTATACTTGCTAAGATCATCCTTCATATGGGAAGAGAAGACAAAAACATTCTCAGATAAACAAAATGTGAAAGAATTTACTAACACCACACCAGTTCTCCAAGAAGTTCTGAAAGGAGTGCTATACCAGGAAAACTAAAGTAAGACACACAGAAATAATAGAAAAAAAATAAATAAATAAGGAAAGGGCCAACTTCATGGTAGGAACAAGTCCAGAACTGAATATTATCCTCCAGAATTTAAATAGAAAGCTCAGACCACAACAGGAGTTAGATTACATGAGACTGAGCTGGTGAAATAGAACTTTATGGCTTTTGACTAAACAATACTCATCTTTTTCTATGCTTCATACTCCAGAGATAAAGATTTTCATCTTCTCTTGAATTGTCAACAGATCCTAACTTGTTCCCTGGCTTTAAGTGTTAAATTCCCTCAACATATTTTTTTGGAGAGGTTTGTTTGTTTGTTTGTTTTGTTTTTGCTATAGGGCACGTACGCTCGCCAGACAGACAGAAAGCAAGAAATCACCACCACCACCATCAATTCTCCTCCATTCTCCTCTCAGGATCTTGGGCACGCATGCACACATGCCCGGCCTGAGTTTTAAGCCACCGGGTCCCGGAAGTGAACCGTGATCAACTACATGGGATTCCAGCAACATAGCCATTACATTAACTGCTGGTCCCTCTCTCAACATTTTTTATTTTGACTTATTAAAGCTAAAACTGCCTTTCTTGAAATTTATATATATATATATATTAAATATGCCAAGGATTTGCTAGCTCTCAAGGAAAGCATATTTGAAAGATCTTCATCTAACAAGACCAACTGGCTAACAAAAAAATGAAGGGCTTAGCCCATGCCCTAATGGTTAGGGGAGCTGGATCCCACATGGCCAACCACACAATTCAGGTTCCAGCCATGGCAGCTTGAAAAACCTAGCAGTCACGTTTGCATGTGTGCTCCAAATCCCAACAGGATAGACAGATATAAAGAAGGGACTGTGTCATGACCACACTCTATTAAGGGGTGTCTCCCTTCTCCCATTTTTGTGTGTGTGGTGGGTGAGTGTGTGTGTGTATGTCTGTTGATCACATTTGCTCTCTTGCAATTTAAAAGAGGGGGAGAGAAAAAAAGGATGTTCCAGATGGACAGGAAGGTGCCTCAGAAAGTAGTGGGCTGAGGGGCTACTGGGGTAAAAGAATCAAGGTCCCATCTGGAAAGGTTTCTGTTCTCAGGGCAAAGTAACTCATGTCTGCACCCATAATCTAAAGATTGCTATTAAGATGGTACCCCTAACAGTCCTTCACCCTAACTCATTCTTTTCCTTTTGAAAACTATATTTATTAGTGTTTTCTTGCTTATGCAAAACATCTGTATATTGAGACCAGGCAGACAACTTGTCTGTTTAGATCATAAGACTCTGGGTTAAGAGAAGCCACATCTGGATTAACACAGGTTCCTGGCATCATTCAGAGATCTTGGACTCTGAAAAGAAAGTGATAAATAGGTGGAAATTTAGGGTTTTCTGAATAAGGTATGAAGTTAAAATTCACATGGAAGGGGCAGAATGTCAATAGGTAGTCAAAAGCTGCCCACTTATCCTGAGTGTTTTCTTTTAATTTTTTTTCTTATTTTTTATATACATTCAATCACATTGTTTAGCTTACAAAGTGAACATTTCAATATGTGAACATTTCTCCCCAGTCCAGTTGATCAAAATATCTTCAACAGATAACACCACACCTCCCCATCCCATCAATGCTCTGCCTCTGTATCCCTCCTCCAAATTACCTTCCCTAGGCCCCACTCCTCCACTCACACTATATCTGGCATTTACACCCATCTCTTGTGTTTGTATATCTTTTAGTCAACCGTCAATCAGTTTCGGTTGTAGAGTGCAGACACTCAGTATATATTAAGTGGGGACATACAATGTCTCTCCTTCATAGCCTGGCTTACTTCACTCAGTAGTAAATCTTCCATATTCTTGTGTTTTCTCCAGTAAGGGGGATCAAATACCACCACTACTACTCCAGAAGAACTTAGGCAAGGCCAGTACTTTGGTCAAGCTAATGTCAGAAGTGATTTCTGCATATCTCAGAAGCTTTAAGAACTGGCACTTAATTCACTGCTTTCTTTATACTCAGCCACAAAGACCAATATTGTTCTAGCAAAGGTCCCATTGGCCCAAGGTCACAAAGAGAATGGGATAAAACCCTGAATGTGTAGACTCCTCAGAAATAGTTATTAGTTACCAAAAGCATAACCTACCTCACTGCTATCTTGAGAAACCCAGAGACCATATTTTAGAAAAACCACCCTGAGGGCTGGCAGATGGTGTGACAGTGAAGGTGCCATACTCACGTAGCTGACCATGGTTCAAGCCCCTCTCATGTGGCTGACCATAGTTTGAGGCTTGAACCTGGCAGCTTGCTTTTTCTTTCTCTCTCTCTCATCAAATTAAAAATAAGAATGAATAAAATTAAATTATTCTTAAAAAAAAAAAAAAAAAGAAGATAAAAACCATCCAGACATATAGATGGCCCATGAATTCATGGCCATGGGGTGGAACGAAAGACTTTTCCATAAATGGTATTAAAATAACTATAAATGCAGAATAAAGTTAAAGGCTAATCCACAGTTCACACTAAGTGCTTATTTATGTCACCACCATTAGGAAACAGGCAACAACAACAAACTCCACTGAGAGAATACAGCTGGAAGGTCAAGTCAAGTGACTCATGGTCTCTGCCCAATGCATTTTTTTCCCTTGACTAATTTTAGTGGACCCTTTCATAATATAAACAGCATTTTATTTTTTTAGTTTTTTTTTTTTTTTGAGAGGTTTTTGCTATAGGTGCATGTGCTTGCCAGAAAGACAGAGAGACAGAAAGCGAGAAATCATCCCCCTACCGGGGGGATGGCCGCACTGCAATCCCTTCTCCTCCACTCTCCTCTCAGTATCTTGGGCAGGCACGCACATGCGCCTAGCATGAGTTTAAGCCACCAGGTCCGGTACTCAAACCACAGTTAACTACATGGGAGTCCAGAAACACAGTCATTACACCAATTGCTGGTCCCTATAAGCAGCATTTGTAAATATAAAGATTTTTCTAAGTTCCTCATTTCTTTTAGGAATTATAGAACCTAAGAGTGATATTGGGGACTCCCAAACCAATAGTTGATATCAGAACAATCATGGTCTTGAGGACTTTTAATCCTCATATGCCAAAAAAAAAAACCAACATGAGGATAACTATACCAAGATATACCATGATCAAACTGCCCCCAACCAGAAAAAAGTGTAAGAAGATACAAGTCTGGTTAAATAAAACAAACAACACTGAAAATAATACACATGTGAGGAAATGTAGTTTGTTCTTAGTTTAAAAATGTTTAAAAAGTCAATGACAGTTTTTTTTTTTTTTTGAGGTTTTTTGCTGTAGGGCGCGTGCGCTCACCAGAAAGACAGAGAGAAAGAGAGTGATAGAAAGCAAGAAATCCCCCCCCAGAAGGGATGGCCATGCCACAATCCCTTCTCCTCCATTCTCCTCTCAGAATCTTGGGCACGCACGCACACGTGCCTGGTGTGAGTTTTAAGCTACCGGGTCCGGGACTCGATCCGCAGTTGTCTCCATGGGAGTTCAGCGATATAGCCATTACGCTAACTGCTGGTCCCAAAAGTCAATGACCATTTGAACTGCATGTGCATACGCCTCTGGCACTATAAAGCAAAAAGAAAAAAAGAAATTTGAAACAACAGCCCGAGATAGAGAAGAAGCAGGGACCAGCAGGTGGCATGGTGGTTGAGGTGCTGGACACTCCCACATGGCTGACCACAGTTCAAATCCTGAACCTGGTGGCTTGCTTTCTCACTTTCCCTCTCTTCCTATCTGTGTGTGTGTGTGTGTGTGTGTGTGTGTGTGTGTGTGTGTGTGTGTGTGTGTGTCTGGTCAAATTAAAAGAAATGAATGAATAAATTATTTTTAAAAAAGATAGAGAAGAAGCTATAATGCACACAGGAGAGAGTACTTGAAAAAGACTGATTTTAAAACTAAAAAGAAGCAGGACTCATAAAGTGATGACAAAGGGATCAGTCAGGTGAACCCTCTGTATAAAGCTATTGATGAAATCTGGATAACAGCTACAGCACAACCATCTGAGGAATCGAACAACAGTCAAAACAAGGTAGAACCCAGAGAGAAGGAATCTCTAAAGGACAAACTCAGCATGTTTTTGGCATTTTACCAGTGGGCATTCTCCAGTTTGTACATAGATCAAGGAAGTAAAGGTTGCAGTTTTACTGGTGTGCAGTGTCAGGCAATGAAGCTCAGTGCTGAGAAGATAACCAGGAATCTGGGGAGGTGGGGAGTAAGTCCTGAAAGAGAAAAGGCCAAAACTGTGAACCTCAAATTTACAAAAAAAAAAAAAAAAAAAAAAAAAACACTAAAACGGTAGGCAGAGTCTACATATGTGGGAGACTTGAGGGACCAATACAAAAGCAGCTACTTAAAAGCATTAAGAAGCAGTAACTGACCACTGTAAGGAACAGAACTTGAAATTTGAACTAACCAGTCAACTACTAAACAAAAAAACACTCTTATGAGTAATAAAACAGTATCTACAATCTCTGCAACATGATTTGCAATATCAAAAATAAAATTTAAACCATTGCCTGTTTGTTTTGTTTTGTTTAGAAACATAAGTTCTACTTTATTTCATCATGAAGAGAATAAAGATCATTTGCTTTCTCTCCACAACATCGAAGAAAATAGTTGTTTCCTATGTCTTTTCTCCACTACTCTGATTCCTTCGCATTCCTATACATTTAGGCAACTCACTGTTTGTTTACCCCTCTGATCTATGTATGCTGACAGCTTTTCTAAACATTAGTTCCATTTTTGTCCTGTTTGTTGTAATAGATTAAAATTACTTGTAAGAATAATCAAATTAGTAATTCATTTCTCCAGCAAGATGCAATCTTCAAGTCAAAATTTTTCTTCTAAAAATCTGCAGTTAAGTTTAAAAAGTCTTAGCAGCAATAGATTAATGATTATGGGGGAAAGAATCCATGTTCTTCTGTAACTGGGAAGTGCTGGTTATTCTTTGATTGAGCTTACTGGCAATTTTTCTTTTAATAAACTTTGTCCATGGGGTCGGCAGGTGTTATAGTGGTTAAACACGCTGGACTCCCACCTGTCTGACTATGGTACAAGTAAGTCCTAGACCTGGTGGCTTGCTTTCTCACGTTCTCACTTTCTGTCCCTCTCTGATAAAATTAAAATAAATAGGGACCAGCAGGTGGCATGGTGGTTAAGGTGCTGGACACTCCCACATGGTCGACCACGGTTCAAGTCCTGGACCTGGTGGCTCACTTTCTCACTTTCCCTCTCTCTTTCTCTGTGTCTAACTCTGGTCAAATTAAAAAAAAAAAAAAAAAGAATGGATAAATAAATAATTTTTTAATTAAAATAAAGTTAAATAAAAGAATTATTTAACAAATAAATTTTGTCCATTTTTTTCCTGGAATTTTCTCAGATAATGCATTTTCACATTACATAGCATCCATAGCACTGCTCTTCTTCAGTGAACATGAATTCCAGTCCTCATTTGACAAGATGCAGACAGTCCAGTTGTTAACAAAAACACTTTAATCTACTAGATTTTATGGACATACAGTGACCACGTGCCATTCAATCTTCAAGGTATACTGTTTGTGTGAGGAACATAAAATATACCTGCTAGATACATTTATTTTTCTCCCTTTATGGCTACTGACCAATACAGACCAATACAGTCCAGGTATCTATCTGTCTTGAGAATGGCTTTATCTAATTGGGCTTCCCACATAGTTTTCAGAAGCTCATAACATAAGACTTTAGCACCTCAGTAAAGCCTTGGTGAACATAGAAAAAACATGCAAGAGGACTTCAAAAAGTTTATGGAAGATGAAATTAAACCACAAATTTACTTTGGTATAAAACATTTCTGATATCCATGCATAGATTTAATACACACTTTCCATGAACTGTTTAAAAACACCCCTGTACTACAAAACTTGAAATATAGTATCAAGCTGAAACCAAATTATCTGTAGGTTTTAAGAAAAAGTTCTTTTACCAATACAAAGTAGAAAAATCATTGTGTATTTTTTTAATCCATGAAAATGTGATTCTAATAATAATAAAATCATGAGAAACAAAATCACATTAACCAGAACTTGCAAGTAGAAGTCAAGAGTTAAGACATCTATACATATCTTCACATAAAGAAAGATATAAAAATAATGTCATTGATGAGTTCTATCAAAACAAACTATAAAAGAGTATAAAAGTAAAACAATAGGGACCAGCAGTTGGTGTAATGGTTACATCACTAGAGTCCTACATGGCAGACCTCGATTAGAGTCCTAGACCCAGCAGCTTGGAAATCATGTGAGAAACATATGCATGCATGCCCAAAATCCAGAGTAGAGGATGGAGGTGAAGGGACTGCAATGTGGCCATCCTCCCTGGGGGTTATTTCTCACTTTTGGTCTCTGTCTCTCCAGCAAGTAAGCGCACCCTACAGTAAAAATCTCTCCAAATTTAAAAAAAAAAATGGAAATTGTAGACCTGTGACTAAAATACAGCTGATTGGAAAAGCCCCCTCCCCCAAAAAGGAACTTGAGACAGATACTTTTTTAACCAGCAGATAATGAATTTATTTGTGCTCTAAAATAATTAAAACTCAACATGCACCTTTCCACTGAGGGATTTCATAGGTCATGGCCAGTGCAGAACTTGGACAGGAAATCCTTTGGCCTTGGTGCTTCTGTTTTGTGGAAGAACCACATAGTGTTTGTCTGCTGCTTCCACATTTAATCATCTCATCCAATTCCATCTTTTCCTTAATGACCAGATGATCTACCACCCTGGGGTCTGTGACATGGGCATTCTTCATAAATATTTATCCAACTTTATCCTGTCCCTGTTTCACAGTGAGATCTAGCTGGAATAAGTGCACAGTGTGCAGCACCTCCCGATACCAGGCGCGATAGAGCTCGTGCACCTTCCAGTTGGCCTCGTTCATGTCCCAACTGAAAATAGGCTACACAGACATGCTGGCAATGGCCACAGCCTGGCAGACGTTGCTTGCCACCATCTTGCTGAAAAAACCCAATACATATAATTTTTGTGACAGAGAAGAAAAAATTTACAAAGGTTCAGAAACTGATGAGAAAATTTATAAAGCACTCTTACAAACATGCAATTTAAATTTCAGAAGGAAAAGGAGAAAAATGGAGCATAAAATGTATATTTAGAGATCTGCCCCAAACTTCTGAATAAGATTCAAGAAGCTCAAAGATCCCTAATCAAATAGTTTCAAAGAAAACTACTCTAGAAAAATCACAAGCTAAAGAGAAGATCTTAAAAGTACAAAAAGATAAAATAGCACATAGCAGACTGGGTATAACCACATAAAAACCATTGTGGACTTCTCACAAAAAAAAAAAAAAATCGAAAGACATCTTCAAAACATTGAAAGAAAATATCCTACCATCCATGACTTATAGCTAGTAGAACTATGCTACAAAACAAGGTAAAGTAAGACATTTTCTTTTTTAAAAAAAAAGAAAAACTAAGTTAATTCATTACCACTAGACCAACACTACTAGAATGCTAAAGGAAGGTCTCCAGTATAGAAGAAAATGACACCAGATGCTAATTTAGAGGTACAGAAAAGAATCTGGATCATCAAAAGTGGTGAATATGTAGATAAATATAAATAACTACAATAGCTCTCATTTTTTTCTGGCCTTAATTTCTTTAAAAGAAATATGACTTTTGGGGCCAGGTGGCGTGGAGGTGAAGGTACCAAACTCCCATATGGCTGACTGCAGTTTGAGTCCTGGACCTGGTGGCTTGCTTTCTCACCCCCAACCGCTGGTGAATTAAAATAACAACAACAACAATAATAACAATAATAAAATTAAATAAATAATTTTTTTTTAAATGTCTTTCTTTTTTGCCTCATTGTCCTACTGAAAGCAAGATGGGTCATCAGCAGTCTATTAAAGCCACCCATGAAAATTCAGTTAGAGTTCTCATTCTTGCTGCATGTGTTCAAACCTGTATGGTATGATCCAGAAATATGGCCTTAATATGTGCTTTGAAGATGGCTGACCCCTGGCCATGTCCTCACATGGCCTTTTGTCTCTATTCATAGCCCCAGTGTAGCTTTTATAAGGACGCCACTCAAAATGTACTTTGGTCCACAAATAATCAGGGCTATCTTTTTAATAAAATACTAAAAATACTAAGTTATCCAAAAGGCAATAAAAAAGCAGAAAAAGAAACATCATATAAAACACACACACACACACACAAAACAGGCTCCAGTAGATGATGTTAATGGTTATGTCTCTGAACTCCCACATAGTAGACCACAGCTTAAGTCCTGGACCCAGCTCTAAACTCACAGCGGGCACATGTGCATAAATACCCAAAATCCCAAGAGGAGAATGGAGGAAAAGGAATTGCTGCGTGGCCATCCCGCCCTGAGGGGGGATTTCCAATTTTCTGTTTCTCTCTATCTCTCTGGTGAGCACAAGCACCCTATAACACAAATATCTCTTAAAAGAAAAACGCACCAAAAAAAGGCAGCCCTAAATTTAACCATAAGACTAATTTAATGTAAATAGAGTAAATATTTAAGGCAGAGACTGTAGACTTGGTTAAAAACAAAACAAAAACACAAATTTGTTACAGTATCCAGACACACTTGAAAAACAAGGACATGATCCGGACTTGATGTGGGAGAGGAGTGAAGAGCTTTGGCACAGTGGTTAAGGCAGCTGAATTTCACACAGCTGTCCATGTAGTTAAGAGTTCTGAATCCAGAGGCTTGAATGACACACCAGGTATATACGCATGTGTGTCCAAAATCCTGCAATGAGGGAGAAATGGAGAAGGGACTGTAGTGTGACCATTTCTCAAAGGGGGTGATTTCTCAATTTCTCTCTAACCCCCTCTGGATACTATACATGCCCCTCTGGCAAAATTAAGAAAGAAAAACAAACAAACAAACAAAACAAGTACACTGTAAGTAAAAGGATGAAAAAGGAAATACTATGCAAATATTAATGACAAAGAGCCTAAGTGAAGATAGAAAATCAATATCAACACGAGATAATCATTTAGAGACTTCACGTAATACTTAACAAATCATACGATATAAAAATTATAAATGTGCATGTGCCTAAAAGTCTCAAAGAACATGAAAGGAAAATAGAACTAAATGGGAAACTAAAAATATAATCCACAATTGCAGTCGGACAATCAATTCTTCCCTCTTAGCAACTGGTGGGACAAACAGGCAAAAATACCAGTAAAAACA